TTTGGCATAGAAAGTGATTGAATTGGAGAATGATGTCTGAATCAAAATTGTAGTCAGATGAGTTAGCTTTCCAACGCATTTTGAATCGCCTCAATCGGATATCGGAATACAAAGTTATGATAAAAACACTGAAAGACAGTGCGGCTGCCCGTTTAAAACAAGAAATTCCGTTATATAGTCCGTTAAAACAACAAATTCCGTTAGTTTTTCCGTTAAAAACAAGAAATTCCGTTACATAATCACTTTTAATATATAAAAGATATATATATATATATATATAGAGCATATTGACTGCTATTTGTTCTGTTCACATCATGTTTACGGTTTTAATTCTTCTATATGATTTGATGATTAGAATACAATACATATCAGAACTTGCATATTTAAAATAAATAAATCAAACAAGACTTGTACATCTTTTAGTTAAGCATCATTAAGCATATGAATACATCAGATATTTAAAGCTGGTGGTTTTGTGGGTGTAAAGACTAAGAACACATGAAGGCTTTTCAGGATTTTATAATCTTGCTCAACGAGTTTTCTACCGAGTGAAAATTGAGGGTTTTTCTACTTGTATTTGATTTATGAGGTGAATGGATTTATGATTTTCTAGCTAATGATGGATGGGAATTCACGATCAAGAAATATGATGCAACATAATGGTTCTTATGGAGGTTTTGATTTGCAAGGGCCGACAAGAGTCCATCATAACCAACACAATCCGCTGGCACCCCCACCAACATCACCCTCATCCTAGACAAGGTTCATCAATTGTTCATTTAATCTGGTCGGGAAATGGAATTGTTTATGTGAACCTGAGAATGGAATTGATGAAGACGAGGAGATCAAAATTCGACTCTAATTGTTACAAAAGGAGGAAGCCCGTGAATTTCGTCAAAAGATTGTCACTTTTTGAAAAAAAAAAATTCGTCACTTTCTTTTAAAATTGTCACTTTTTGAGTGTGTCACTTTTTTTTGTCTGTCACTTTTACTTTGTGTCACTCTTTTTAGTTTTTTGTCATCTTTTAAGTTTTTCTCACTTTTTAAGAAGATAAAAAAATGAAATAATATGTTATATTTTCTTAACATAATCAGCATGTGAATTTGTCTGAACGTGGTGATTATTTTAAGAACATGATTACTGGTGCTGCACAAATGAATGGTGCTATTTTTGTATTTGTCACTTTTTTTTAATTGTCACTTTTTTGAATTTTTGTCACTTTCTAAAAAAAGTGACAATTTTTATAAAAAAGTAACATTGTGTCACTTATTAATTTTACATAGTATTTTTTACTTCCTAAAAACTTTTCATATGATTTTTCAAAATATCCCTAATTTTAAAGGTATTTTTGTAGGTACCCCTTTTATTATTGACCCACGTTCTGATTGATTGGGAGTGTTTCAAGTAGCAGGTTCTACAAAGTAGGCCCATGTTTGGCCCCCATTGAACTTTAATTCATTTTTCTCCCACCTCTTATCAACCACACATTCTCTCAATAAAATAATATTATACATAAATCCAAAAAATTTCCTTACTTTTTAATCACACATTATTCAAAAGCACTATTCCTAATCAAATAATAGAGCTCAAACAAGGGCTAGATAAAAAGAGTGTTTAATCATCTTAAATTATTATAATTTAAGCTTTACCAAACATACTTGTCTATGGCCATGGAAAAAATAGGTAGCAAACAAATTCACATTTATGGATCAACAAACAGTATTTCAACATTTGCAAATACAACAACATCAAAGACTAAATACTAGCTACCACATTAGACCCCTGAATTTTTCTTTTTAATTTAAGATATCTATAATATTCAGAAACTCCTTGTTCTTGTTGGACCAACATAAACAACAGTTTAGTTAAAAGAAATCAAATTCAAGATAATTATCAGAACCTTGTTGGGTTGGGATAGCTGCAGGAGCAATTTTCAGACTAGTTGATGCGGTCGGGGCAGGAATTCTTTCGATCTCAACTGGTCTAGGCACATCTGGCGGACTTGCACAACGAATTAAAGCCCAATTCACACCCTCGAAGAATGGATGTTGCTTAATCTCGGTTGCCCCACGTTTGTATGCCAACCTATGCTGTGGCTCTTTCACTAGCAAGCCTCTTATAAGATCCCTAGCAGCGAAACTGACAACTGGCGATTCTGGAAACCGCAATGGCTGGCCCACGACATTGAAAAGTGTAGCCTTATTTCCTGATCCCTTGAAGGGAGTCTTACCGAACAATAGCTCATAAAGAAAAATCCCAAAAGTCCACCAGTCCACAGCACTGCCGTGCCCTTCACCTTTGATGATTTCAGGTGCCAAGTACTCGTGGGTACCTACAAATGACATGGAACGTGCTTCGGTTGGCTCCGCAATAAGCTCGGGCAATGGGCTGACTTGGTTACCAATGTCATTTTTGGTTTTGCGGTCTTTCTTGGATTTGCTTGAAAAGAGGCGAGGAGTGAAACACGAAGTAGGGACCATACATGATGGCTGAATGCACGAGGGCTCAATACAAGCAGGTTGAACGCAATAAACTGAATTTTTCCTAAGTGTCTCTGTCTCGAGGGACGAGGATTTGATGAGTGTTGGGCTAACGGCACAGCGGAGAGAAAGATCAAAGTCAGATAACATAATGTGTCCATCTTCTCTCACGAGGACATTTTCAGGCTTGAGATCCCGATAGACAATGCCAAGCATGTGGAGGTATTCCAAAGCGAGAAGGACCTCAGCTACATAGAACCTGCACGTGGGATAGAAATCAATCACAAAAGGTACAAATAAACAATTACACAGTATTTTGAGTCCTCATATACGAATTGCACGTAAAATTGTAAAACGAAAAACCAAATACTGCACAAGGAACTACTGGATAGAAGCCAAGAAGAGAACCGGAGACACTAATCTTACTATATAACTTCTTAGGCACTTTGAGATAATGCGCGGTCAGATAAACATAAATAACAGTTTGTTAAACCAGAAACTGGGTCAAAAGGATAAATTCCACACCCTTGTGTGCAGACAAGACATAGCTAGAAACTCCATAGGGGCAATCAAAACTTTCCCAAAGCATGCTATAAGTGCCAGATAAGATAAATACTTACTTTTTCTGACAGAAATAAACATTTGCTGTTAAAAAGTAAAATTTTGTAATGACAATCTAAAAAAGAAACTTTTAGGAAACCTCAAGCATTTTTGGAAAAAAATAAATAAAAATCTTAAAGTGACTTTAAGCTAAACCAAACATGCTCCATTTCAAACAACACTATTTTATGAAAAAAATAAAATAGAATGCCTACTAAATTACTACACAAGCTGAGAAGGTAAGGAGATATTGAAGGGTAGGTAATAAGGAGACATTATTACTGAAGCATAACTCAAAATGAGGATGCAATATCAGGTTGATTTGACTAGATTGTCATGAAAATGCAGATGAAATACAGCAAGCATATTACAAGGTCAGACATTTTGAACTGAGCGACATGCTTATCATTCAATAAGCAGATTACCATGCTGAAATTAGCAAATTTCAACATTTGGAGTTGAAGAAAAATAATGGCAAACTAATTAGAGAGCATCAACATTGGCATGTCTAGAAACTCAGTTCACTTTGATTAAACTAAAAGTCTAAAACATCATTATTCATTGGCAGCAAATTATCCAGTTACAAGAGAAATGCTAATCTACTGAGCATGATAAAAAAAAGGGATGATTGCAGCAAAAACCCCAAACCTTTGAAACATTAGCAGACTTTCCCCAAACATTTCAAACGTTACAGCCATCACTCCTAACCTTTCCAATCGTTACATGTGAGGCATTTTTGGACGGTTTCCATCGAAAATGTCGTTAGTTACCAACAAAATAATTTGGACCATTTCCTAACAAAATAGAGGAGGGTAAAATCGTCTATACATTATATACATTCTTAAAAAAAAAAAAATAAAAAATCTCTGTCACAATTGATCCTTCATCATACTCAATCAAAACCAACGACAGTTCTCTTTCACCATCTCTCTGAGGCTTCATGCTACCTACCGCCCCTACAGTCGGCGACGGAGCCATCTCCGTCGTCGCCAACAACAATCACTACCAAAATTTCCTTTCTGCTCCTTCCTTCTCTAGGAAACCCGACCAAAAACCCTTTGTCTGTGCACGCTAAACCTTTCGCCACTGGCATGATTGATCTTTCATCGTCATCTTCAAAGGGTCCAATGCGAATCGATGGATTCGAAGAGGACTTGATCCTATCCAAGTCCGAGTATCTAACCAGACTCGAGTTACTAAAACGCTGAGCATCCCGAACTAAGCAACTGGTCCGGATTTACCAGGACCACTACTGAGCTCAAACTCAAGTCTATGTATATAATGTATAGACGATTTTACCTTTCCCTATATTGTTAGAAAATAGTCAAAATTTATTTTGGTGGTCAACTAACGACATTTTGGATGGAAACCGTCCAAAAGGGCCTTACATGCAACGGTTGGAAAGGTTAAGGGTGAAAGCTGTAACGTTTGAAAGGTTTGGGAAAAATTCTGCTAATGTTTCAAAGGTTCGGAACTTTTGCTGCAATTATCCCTAAAAAATGTAGTAATCAGCAAATAAGGTATCATAATGACAGTAGAATAAAATATACTGATATTGTGTGATATGAGTAGCCTCCATTCAATTTATCTTAAAGACGGAGGCCACAATATAAAAGTTCAAAAGCTGATTTTTACTTATTCAATCTTGCACTATTTACTTGACTATATCTCATTTTCTAGAAGGCTAGTAACTCTAGGCACAAACTGTATCAGAGTAAGATGAAAAAATAAATAAAACAGAATAGCACTTGTTACATCTCATCCGACTATGCTCTGAGCATCGACGACATGGCAGCTAGCTAGCAAGCCTAATCAGGCCGCACTCCACATCTGTCCTCTACCTCCTAGCCTATCCGAAGCCATCGAACATAGAAAGTCCAAGTGATGCATCATCACCTCAAAGGAGGTGCCATGTTGAGACCAACTCTCCACGGTCGAGGCTAGGTGCCACGACCTGCTGCAGAGTAAATTCGAATCAACTAGACTCTCAACATAAGAAGCCATCTTCCAACTTCACCTCTTCCATGAGATCTTCTGTACAAGATCTGATATTGATTGATAGTAACATCTCTGTAGCAGACGCCTCAAAGTCAAAATCCCGTTAGGCCTAGACTAGAGGGTAAAAGCATTTCAGAATCATTAAATGCCCATGAACCTAAGAATGCAGAAGTGACATCAATGATGAGGCACCTCGGCCGTTAAGATAGGGCCACGTGCCCATTCATCCAACGGTAACCAAAGCCGCATCTTCTACTGTAAAAGCTTACACTTAATGTCATTTGAAGGTAATACAATTTTACATACTCATAGCATTATTGCTCACTCTAGTTTACTCTCTATATACAATGGTGCACGTACACATTCGTGGCTCACTTCTTTTGTCCATCCCTCACCCATATATCTATACAAGTTAACTGACTTGATAGTCGAAATGTTCGCGACTGCCTCCTTCATTCCTGGAGAAGGCCACGTGCTTCTAACAATTTGTCCAAGTGTAGGAGCTTTATGCGTGGACATGAGCAAAGCCGGGATCTGTTGGCTACGTCATTAGTCAGAAACCGAGGTCAACAATGGTAAAGCATAAGAGAAAGCACTTGACAATGGATTTCTCTTCTAAAATCAGACGCTAAAAAAAGCCTAATCAAGCCTGGGTGGTTATAGACAAATTCCTAACCACATAGCTACAATATGAAAACTATTAATATAAGACTTGTTTCATGTCATAAATTTTTAATCATATAAATCAGGAGCACACGTTCCTCCCAATTTGTAAACTTGCAAGGGATAATCTTCTTGCTTGCATTGCAACGATGGTGAGCTAGGAACCATAAAACAAAATTTTATATCATTTTTAGAAATTTGTTAAAAATCAAGCTCCTATTATGGATCATAAAGAGAGAATCCTTGTTTTACCTCAATAGCTAGTTGTGTGCAAGGTCTAATTAAATATGAAACACTCTAGTATTATATACAATTTACTAATAAAAATATTTAACAACTTGTGCTTTTGGTCAGGAATAGTAGTTTCAGAAAAACGTAGAACAAGTTCAATGTCTATACTTCCAAATACAAACTTGCATAACATAATTTGGTAGATATGAGCACATCAGAAGATCATTTCTACTTTGGCTCAATTAGAGGCAGCATTCCAGCTATCTCTTCCTACTGTTTCAGCTTTAAAAATGGGGAAAAAAAACATGTTTGATGCTCCCTCACTCTTCGCAAGTACATATTTTCTTGTTAGATATGTACACAGCTATTGTGCATATATCATATTTTATGAGGAATCTACAATTTACCCTTAAGTTATAAATTAAATAAGAATACTTCATGAAGACTCAAGAAGCCAGATACTCTAGTTGGTTCAACAACTTCCATAACTACTTACACCATGTCCTATGTAGATTCAACCGGACACACTGAAAATTTCATGAGAATGAAAGTAATCGTTTCCTATATCCACACTCACAAAAGCTTGCAGAAATTAGTTTGCAGGATGACACAATTTATGATACATATCAGAATATTGAGACTATTAGTTGGGATAAGTGTTGTACTTCACTGCCTGTTCAGTAAAATGCTTTCCTGGTTGCCTCTGCCGAAGTGTGTGCAGGTCACCTCCTGGGCAGAACTCCATAACCAAACATGAGAACTTTCCTGTCTCAAAATGGGTATATAAAGTTGGAAGGAAGGGGTGATCTAGGGATTGCAGTATTTCTCTTTCTGTCTGAGCACGCAAAAGTTTCTTGCGACTTGCTAGTGATGCTTTATCCATGACCTTCATGGCAAAATAGCACTTTGTTCCACATAATTCCGAAAGATAGACACTTCCAATATCGCCACAGCCCAACTTCTTCAACAGTCTGAAATGCCTCAAATCTAATGCGCCATCCTTTGATCGTACCACTTGTATGGCTTCCCATCTCATATCATTTGCTTTATGAGGTTTGTTAACGCTGCTACTCAGGCTGCTACAAGTACTTTCATCACTTATATCAGTACTTGTGCTACCCCTACACAAACTGCTCTTTCCACTCTCAACAAAATCAAGCCGATCACTGATTTTGGCACTTCCACTTGTTTTTGCAAGGCTGCTAGCTCCATCGCTCACTTTAGCAGATGCTGAGCTATCCTTGACAATTGTGTGACCTGATGTTTTCTTTTCCAGATGAGGTTTATTCTCAAGTGTTTGTACTTGTTTCGAATTCCCCAATTGCAGGCTGGAATCCAGCTTATCGGCTACAGAACTGACCAACTCCTTTTGCTGATAATTATGTAATTTTTTTTCCCCTGCTGCTGCTACTGCAATTTTCTTAGAAGCAACAGGTTCAACATTTTTAGATGATTCTCTCACGGTAGTCTCAGATTTTCCAGTCTTAGAAATGGGCAAGGGTGAAGCCTTGCGAGCATTTCCCCCTAAGGCTTGTGTTCCATGTATTTTGCTCTGCTTATCTGAGGAACTCTTGATGCTAGATTCAGACGCCATACAGACTCCTTAAATTAGTCGTATCAAACACACCCATTACTCATTGCCCAGCTTCAATATTTGACACATTCCAGCATCAAAATCGAACATTATTGCCTCCAATCCCATATACAGCTCGCAGGTACCTACCAGGATAATGCAGATAAACTATAAAAACAGATGAAATATCGAGTTTAGGTTTTGGAAGAGCTTATCAAAGCAAGAGAAAAATTAACAAAAGGGTTTTAAAAACTGGTCTTTACAACCTCTACCAAATCCAACATCTAGATGATAAATCTAGCAAAAATCCTCAATTGGGTGATAAAAAGATCTTCAACGTGTAAACAAAAAATAAATTCTCCTTTTTTTCTTTTCTGATTAAAATAAAACACAATGAACGTAGAGATGTGAACGCTGATAACAAGTAAACGCAGAATAGAAATCAAAGAAAAACAATTTCGACAACCTATCCACCATGAACAAAAAGCATTTTTGTTTACCTCAAGATGCAATCTTTTCTAGCCAAAAGCATAACTTTCAAAGAAGAAAGCCCCAATGCCTCAAATAACCATCAAATTGCACAGAAAAAAAGAGACTCAATTACCTCATAGAATATAATGCACTTCCTCAATTTACTCTACAAAGCAAATACACAGCAAAAGATAAGCACAATTTAGCAGATAAATGAATGGGAAAAATATTGGGCCCCTTAAAAAGCACGCAGATCTTGAGCAAAGACCCACGACTTTTCTGTAAAATCCCTACCAACAAAGATCCAGAAAACCCCACACGAAGAGACGGAATGCTAAAAAACAAAGTAGTGTGGAGAAGCAAAAACCCAACTAGCAAATCACTGGACCAGTTCAAAAGGCAAAAAAAAGCAGCCCGCAGCTAAAAGATAGTACCTGAAGTCACAAAGATCGGAACTTTAGGGTTTTCATTTTTCTTGCTTTAGCAAATGAGGAAAAAAAATGAGAAAAGAGAGCACTCAAAACTGTAGAGAGAGAAAAAGAAGAGCGATAGTGCGATACCTCCACTTTCTCCTAAAATGCGTGGATTGAATGAGAGAGAAAAGGTTTTGAGATTGTTGAAAGAGAGAGTTGGGTGGGTGACTTGGCCTGTCCGCTATACCAATACCAATGTACTCTCTCGTATGTGTGTGAGAGAGAAGGAAGAATGTTTGCTTAGAGGTCACCCAACTTACGAGCTTGTTTCGTAGTGATCACCTAATTTTGATTTATTTCAGTATGATCATTCCATCTATAACTATGATCAAAACATACCAAATTCCATCTGGCTAACAAAATGCATGATCCAACATTTGATTGGCGTTAGCTCAATAGTTTTGTCTAGAATGAGTAAATTGATCAGATTAAAGTTGTCTTTATTCAATACCCTTTTGATTTATTGGCAAAGTAAATGTTAATTTAGTTTCAAGACATGCAGATATATACAATTAACTAATGGGGATGACAAAAAAATGCATTAAACTTGATACTTGCGAACCTCATCCCATAATCGAGTACTCAGGACGAGGATTGTAGCCCATGTACAGAAAACATGGTCCTTGATATGGGCCTTTATTATCACCCCCAGCTTTGTAGTCTCGAGGAGTGGTATATATTAAACTGGGCCAAATGTCCTCGGGTGTGCTATCTCGAGGACTATAAATATGACTTGCGGTAACTTAGTGATGGAATCCTGGGATGTGTCCTCGGGTTTTCATTATTGTTGTGTCCTCAGTCATTTTCCTTGGCCAAACTCAAAAGGTTTCCTTAGACATAAACTGATTCAACATTCTAGGAATTCTAAGTCTACTCAAATACCTCAAGTAAAGACTCATACGTCCAGAAGGAGTCTATATTGCTAAGTGTCACAGTCAAATTATGGCTAGATCTACATATGCAGTACAATACTCATCTCATGCGGGATTCTTAAGGGTAAAGAAATGTAGCAAACCAAGTTCAACCAAGAATGGGCTACCTACCTCTATAAATACAAGGATCAAATTTATTGATCGGGTACGTTTTTACATATAATTTCAGCACCCAAACTTTTTGCATATTCTCTCTCTGACTTAAGTATCGGAGGGGCGATGAGGATACACATCAATACCTTTGTTACAGGTACCGGAAGATCACGTTCGTGCTCATTCTCAGTCGACAAGCTCAGAATTCAACATGTGTGATTTTTGGTAGCATCAATCCCCATTATTCGTCTTGTTTAAAATGTACTTCAAAAGATAAGTTTGTGATACACAAAAAGAAAATAATTATTATTTATGTTGGAGTTCGAAGTTCGAACTCCCACCTCACTAAAATAAGTAAGCCTTTCCATTAATGATCTATCGCTTAGGTCAAACGCAGTACGTTTGAGGTCCAATCGGGTGGAAAGCACCGTCATCTTGGAGGCATAACGATGTTTGGAACCTATCATCACCAATGCACATTTTACCTTATCGAATCATACCGTGCCATCTGACGTCGGCATCTCTTATTCGACCAATCAATTATAAGTAATGATTACTT